GGCCTTAGTGACCTCATAGAAAAATGAGGTCAACAGGCCCATGGGGGTGTGTGATTGCATATGCATCTCGTGTATTTTGTGTTTTTGTGTATACATATTGTAGTGCAAGTGTGGGGACATTTTTAGGAAAATTTGATACCTGTCAGTTGTGCGGGCAACGACCATTTGAAAGCAACATTCTATTTGGAAGCTCATAGAAGCCTTCTATTTGCTTGTACGAGTGTTGCAAATTTGGTGGCATAGCATCATGCTATTTTGTACAGGTAGACTATCATGCACTACTTGTTGATTTTTATAGGTAGATTGTAGTGCAATAAAGAATCTCATGCAATGTATTTATAGATACTTGCACCCATCATAGTTCTTTCATAGTTTCCCACATACAGTAGGCTGAATGTTTCACGTGTCTCTTTCAGTGGCCAATAGGCATTTATATTTGTTGTAGTCAACTGTCATTTTGTTCATGATGACATTTTATGTACACAGTGGGTCTCCTATAAGGGCCCATGGGTAATTGCAGTTGCTATACATCATTTGCTTCTGCCTACAGAGTACCGGTGTATTTGATTGATGTTGCATGGTGGTTGGAAAGTTACTACATTAGCTTATATGTCCTTCAATGTCATTTGTGGATAATTTGTCAAACATGATAAAGAATTTTTCATAGCTCATAGATGATCGTCACTTATTGTTGTATGGTGGTATTGTCATTTTCATCAAACGTCTATTGCCCTTACATTTGGCGAACTATGGCATCTGCACTGCAAATCTCTCCTTCTACTTATAGGTGAGGTTTCATATATATGACAAAACTCATACGACGACTCATACATATTTTCCCGTTGACTATTGGTTCTTTCTTGTAGATATCATCGTGAATGGTCGTATTTATATTGATAGCAAATAGGTTATCTCCATCGCAATCTTCTCATCTTGCATGTAAAAATGATATACCCTTTGCATGTTGTTCATCATTACTCGCCGGAGTTATGTCGAATCCTCACAAGTCCTTCATTTCCCTTGAAGGTATCTTGTGGCTTATATAGTAAGTTTCTGCATTAATGTTTGCATCTCAGTCGGCATGATAACTCTTTGACGTTTTATTAGAGATTTTGTGTGATTGATTATAGGCATATCACTACATTTTTCATTCAACCCTTGCTTGTAAATAAACCTTCAATTGGTACTTGCATTCGTTATATGCTCCTTGTAATCATTGCAATAATTTCAAATCACCAATTATATGAATTTCATTATCAATCGTGACTGAATTATTCTTGCACGAGTTTGGCATATCGACTGTCAAGTTCATGTTTGGGTACTTGTTTATTACAAGCTCTTTGTCGCCTTTGAAAGCGGCCAAATTCATTAAGAGTTTTTTTTTATTAGTGCAATCCAACTTCTTTACATGAACTTGTGGATCCATTAGTATGGATACTACAGACATCATGCTAGTTATGTGCAGGTTGAGGGTCCTTTGTTGCAATATTGAATAGATCGTCATATTGAAAATCCTTTGTGGTTGATTCATTCAGATTCAAGATTAATTCAAGTCCCATATGATCATTTATTTGAATTTAAACTAGGTTATTTGTACTATTCATTTAAATTCAATTATAGTCCTTTGCCAACACATTTAAGTTCAATTTGAGATCAAGCTAGAATCTTCTATATTCATCTAAGTCCACATTAAATTCATTGTAGTTCAGTTTCAGCTTGCCATTTTTTCAAATTCAAGTGCAGTTCGAGTCCAATTTAAGCTCATTTCATTATTCATTTAGGTTCGAGTTCTTGTCCACTGTAATTGTCCAAGTCTCGTGCATTTTCAAATGAAATTTTGGCATCCTCCTAGTGTATCCCCTATTTAGGGGAAACTACATAATTCTTAACTTGCTCATCACGTCACGAAAGATGTGCAAGGTCAGTGTCGGGTGACACCACAACAGTAGTCTTCATCCCCATCATGCCAAGAAAGGCATGCATGGGCCTTCAAAAATACTTGTCTGAAAATACAGTTGTTTGCCCGACGACACTAAGGCACATATGGGTACTTATATTTTTTTCTCATAATGCTAAGAAAAGCAAGCACAAGGCTCGCCATCTCATCGTAGGCATTACATTGAGTTCCCTCCTACCATGCTAAGAAAAGCATGCATAGAGGGTCCCTTTGAGTGCTACGAATGCCAAAAATAGGATTTTAGGGGGATTACCTACCTCGTCGCAAGCACCACAACAAACTTCCTCCCACCGTGTTAAGAAAAGCGAGGATGAGTGGTTGTTCACAGTATTGCAAGCATCGAGGGCAGGGTTTTCGGGTTTAGAACTTTATACTTGCACGAAGGGACGTCGTTGGAGTTGGCATGCATATCGGGGTAAGAGGAAGCACTTATCTTTCTTTTTCTTTTAATTAATTATTACTTAAAAAAATTAAGTATAATTAATTATGATTAATAATAATTAATTCCCATTAAAAATAATTAATTATAATTTAATTGATTATAAAAAATATATGACTAATTAATAATTTAGTATAATTTAAATTAAATTAAATTAATTAATTATGATTAATTTATGATTAGTAAAAATTAAGTATAATTAGAAATAATTAATTATAATTATAAAATTTATTATAATTAAATCTAATTAATTTAAACGAGATCTTAATATGATTTTAACAAGATTTATGCTGATAGGCTCGGGATAGATGATTTATGTAGAGTTTTGGGCAGGATGTAAGCTAATTAATCCTGTTTAAACAGTAGGATTTATGCTTGATTTGAGCTGGATTTAGGCTAAATCCAGGATTTAAGGACTGTTAAATCTCACAGTGATGTAATCACTCTGTTTTCCTCTTCTTGCCCTAAAGGAGTTTAGACGATTACCGGGGAATGAGGGTGTTGAACATCGGATCCCCTATTACCGTACATGTGGATAAGTACCCTTGGCCGCATCATGAATGTTATTGGAGAGCAAATAAAGGCCAATTACTTCCTATCCAGCGTGAGGCTCCTGCCTTTGTTGATCAAGCAACAGAGCAGCAAATCCTTTTTATTGGTATCAAGGTTGTTGATCTTCTTGCACCTTCTCAGAACGGTGGTAAGTAATATAAATATTTATTCATGAGAAATATAAATAGCTATTCATGATATGTAATTACATATTTATTAAATTTTTTAATTAAATCTTAAAAATATATCATAGTTATATTATTATTAGAAAAAAATTGTTTTGTATGAAGTATAATTTTTTTTCTAGATTATTTTAAAATATGATAGTACATTATAATAACTAGGGATTTTTACATACCTAACACTCAAAACAATTCTATTTACATATCTCACACACAAACTTCACTTTTTACTATTATACCACCTAAAAGTCCTAACACTCCCCAAATACAACACTCTGTTTGCTCCCGTTTAAAAAAAAAAGCAGTGACTTTCCCTTGCAACACCTCTTCGCCTCACTGTTTCGCAAAAAAGGGCGCTATGTCGATCCCAGGGAAGAGAGAGCGAGGGGAGCCACTCCAATCTCCATTTTTATTGTTCATCTTCTTCCTTCTCTATTTTTTGTTCCTTTCTAATCTTTATAGATTACAGAACTTATCATATCTATGTTGGGTGAAATTTGGGTGGTGTTTGGTGAGGAATATCTCTATCTTCTTCACAGAATGGGCCAGAGCAGCAGCCACCTCCACCGCGCCGTCCGCATCGGCGGTCTTCTCCAGGGTGTGCGAACACATCTCAACCGAGCCAAAGTGTTGTGCAACCATCCCATCCGACGGCCGATTGAGCAATTCCATCTAGCAGTTGAATCCCATTCGGCACACACTAATTATTTTCTCCATCCGAAGAAAATGTTCTTCCTGAAGTTCGTGAAAAAATACTCGTTAGACGTGCAAATTAGTTGCTAACTGTCATCATGCAGCTCCAATCCATGAAATAAATGATGTTGCTAACTGTCGTTATGAAGCAATTGCTTCTACTGTTTTCAATTAGTTGCATTGAAATCCAGTGAATTATATGATTTTTTTTCTGCTATTGTTTTGTCTTAACTCAACAGCATGATGACAATTATTTCTTAATTTTTTATGCACATTTTTTTCCTTAATTTATGCTTCTACTATTTCTTAGAGAAAATGAGATTGAATCAAGCATCCCCAGAATTTGCAAAGAGAGAAACTCATCAACACGGGTTAAAAAAATGTTTTCGTCGGGGAAACGGAAAAATTAAGGCAGCTTCATAGCGTGTCAAATGCTCTTATTTTTGTTTGGAAGAAACTCTATCATTGTAAGCTTTGAGATTCTTTGTATTTAGCTGCTTCTGTCGTCTTCGATTCATTTTTCTCTTTGTTTAGCGTGATCTCCTTATTGATGCCGCTCTTCATAATAGGGTCAGTCGGTGGCAGCGGCTTGGAGGAATGTCCGATCTTCAATTGGGGAATTCTGATAGTGGAATTGGCGGCAACGGGGAGGTTGAAGGAGGTGGAAGTGGATCAAAGATGGCACGTCGACAGTCTGAAGAAGTAGAAAGTGGACGGGTGAATTTGTCGACCAGAAGAGCCGATGGTAGAACTGGTTTCTGACGGAAGCAAACAGAGGAACTTTTATTACGTCCGGTGCAAGGACATAGAGGAACGTCCGGTCGGAGGCAATTTCCCGTCAAAAAATTAGGTATTTGCTCGGTACAACTAGGTATTATTTGACAATAATGAGTAATACCGTTCTCTGAAGACCAATACCGAGTTATACTGAGCTGTACTGAGAAATACCGAGTTGTACGGAGTTTTTCTGGGAAAAACTCGGTACAACTTTGGTATAACTCGGTATTTGCTCGGTAAAGCCCAGTATAACTCGGTATTGAGTCTTCAAATGATGGTATTCTTCGTTATTGTTTGGTATTGCTCGGTACAACTCATTTTTTTGGCGGGAATTTGCCTCCGACCGGACGTTCCTCTACGTCCGGTCAGAGGACGTAATAATTGTTCTCCGGAGTGTTGTATTTGGTGAGTGTTATGGCTTTTAGGTGGCATAACATTAAAAAGTGAAGTTTGGGTGTGAGATGTGTAAATACAAATGTTTGGAGTGTTATGTATGTATAATTTTTTTTCCAAATTATTTTAAAATATGATAGTACATAAAAATATGATATTATGGTATTTAATAGTTATAAAATATTTCATAAAAATTGATAAATTTTTATTTAGAATTGTTATTTATTAGCATATAAATTCTTTGAAAATTTTGACATTTAAAAATCCAAATATTGGGAATTTTTGTGTAAGAAGGCAAATGAAATTAAAAGTAGTATTACATTCTGTTAATGCTAGCAGAAATCTATCATTCTTTTGGGACCCGTGGTGTAGTGGTTCCTCTGTTGCTGATTACATCAAAAACCTGAGCAATATCTCCAGCTACTCCAATCTATTTGATTGGAAAATCTCGCAGGTTATTCAGGGTGATAACTGGGCCCTTCCTAACTGTTTTGACAATCACCTTGTTTCTCTTATTAGATCTGTTTATATTGATAAGCAATAGGAGAATCATAACTAGCTTGATAAGCAAAACCTGAAATTCGGTGATTTTAATTCCCAGTTTTTTGCTTCCATGAATAAGGTGTCTTGGTATAAATACATCCGGCATAAAAAATCGGCTCTCCGTTTTTCAGTTTACGCCTGGCTAGCGTTCCGTGGGGGTTTAAAAATAGCAGACGTGCTTGCTGTTCGTGGTATTTCTGTCCCTAATACGTGCTATTTTTGCCACTGTGAGAAGGAAACTATAACACACCTTTATTTCGAATGTAATTTTACTTTCAACATTGCAAAAGCACTTCTCCCTTGGATGCACAACCTTTTTATGAGGCCAAACATCCACCAACTTTATGACAGTATTTGGGAACATGGTTTCACCACTAATACCAGAAATTACTATCTTCTTATTGCCTCTTCGATGATTTACTTTATTTGGAGGGCAAGAAATGACCGGTTATTTGATGGCATTATCGATTGCAAAGCCACAACTATTTCTAAAATCAGGAAAGCTATTATGATTAAAACTCATGGATGGAAAATATGATGTATGCTGGATACTGGGTGAAGATGTTCTTCCCGTCCTCTGCTTATCCCCTTTCAACCCGAAGACTGAGTTATGGGTTTTTTCTGGAATTTTGAAGAATCTGTCGCTGTATCAGCTCGTTGGGAGTAACATTTTTGGAAGGACGATGATAATCGCTGAAATCTTTCAGCTGCCCCTTGGATGGTCTTTTGGGCAACCAGGGGCTATGCTCAATTTCTGTTCCTCACTTATTTTTGACCCTTTCGAGCAACTTGAGCATCTATCTGAGTCCTTATTGGCTTACAGCCAACCCGTTGTTGCTTTATATTCCATTAAATTGTAATTTTCTTTTCTTTAGAATCCAAAATCTCTTTTTGTTCTATGAGATGTTTGGATTATAGTTTCAGTTTCTTTACTTACATGTAATCTCTTTTTAGCAATGAATAGGCTTCTGCCCCTAAATTCCCCCCCCCCCCCCCCAAAAAAAAAAAAAAAAAGGAAGCCCCCCCCCAAAAAAAAAGGAGAGCAAAGCCCGAAGGCTTCATTAGCTTGCTATTTAACGGCATATCAGGACCCTCAATCGAGGCGGGCTACAAGTATTACAGAGGATTTTGCGGAGAAGTGACTGTTTCAGCACCGATTTGTACGACGTAAGCTATTTGAACAGAATTTTTGTATGGATTTAGGGATTTTAGTTGAGGTTTGAGCTGGGTTTTGACTCTATGACCAGAGGTCAACAGAGACAAGATACAAAATGAGCATATAGGTGAAAATTTTGGAGTAGCTGTAGTGGCAGATAAGATAGAGAGAGTCGCCTTCGATGGTTTGGCACATAATAGGACAACCTTCTGATGGCCCGGTAAGGGGACTATATGTATTAAATTTGACCTATTTTAAAAACTTGGTTTTAAATATTAGAAATGACCCTTTTTTACTAGATATAAGTGAGAATTTGACTCTTAATAGAAAACAAGGGAGAAAAAATATTCATGTCGCTGACTCCATGTAGTGAACTTTTATTACGTCATCTGACCGGACGCAGATCTACATTCGGTCAGAGAATTGTTACTCGATTTTTGCTCGGTATTTGATCGGTATTGCTAGGTATTGTTTGATAATAACGAGGAATACCACTCTGGGAAGACCAATACCGAGTAATACCGAGCAATACCGAGCAATACCGAGTATTACCAAAAAATACCGAGTTTTTCTAGAAAAAACTCTATATTTTTTGGTATTACTCGGTATTGCTCGATATTACTCGGTATTTTGTCTTCACATAATGATATTTCTCGTTATTATTGGTATTGCTCGATATTTGCTAGGTATTTCTCGTTTTGTGCCTGCGATCTTAGTGCCGGCCGAACGTAGCTCTACGTAAGTTCACCGGACCAAATAAAAGTTCCCATGTAGTGGGATAAAGGCTAGATATTATTGTTTGTTATTGTTGACAAAAGTTGAATCAATATGCAGTCAAAGAAGCCAAAGAATAATAGAGGAATAAAAAACTTAAGCTTCATTCTTTTACTAATTATTTTTTGTTGCTTTTAAAAATTTTTATAATAAAATGTTGCTTAAGCAATAAAAAAATGCTCCAATTGAAACCTCATTAACTTATTTGATTAACTCAAAAGAGTAGAATAGAAATCCTAAGGGCAATTTGGATTCAAGTAAGATTTTATAAACCTCATTAATTCAGATTTACTGAGGGTGTTAAATCCTAAAAAATTATTTGGTACGGAAAGGGATTAAAGCCAATTAAATCTTAGAGAAGTATTTATATTTTTATTTCAAGATTTAAAACCTGTTAGTTCAAATAAAATTTTAATGAATATTATTCATAACAAAATTAATCAAATCACACTTAATCATGTAATTATATATGAATATCAAGATAATTTTAACTATTAAATTAATAAAATAAATTTCTAATATAAATTCTCAATTAACTAAAATTATATTAATTAAATCATATTTATTATATATTCATTATCTAATTAATTATTAATTTGTACTTTTTTTTTTTTTTTGGAAAATTATGAGCTTAACCCATTTCCATTAATGTAAAATAGTTACATGTATTAAAAGAGAGGAGAACAACAAAAACAAAACAGAATTGTGCAAAAGCACAAACAAAATTGAAAGAGACAAAAAACCTAACAAAAAAAGGTGTTACAAAAGAGAAAAAATAACACCTACAAAACTTCAACCACCACAAAAATGCTAATGATAGGATTGGAAAATTTGAACCATAGGGCTGAGGAATTGCAAACATTCAATCGATCTGATTGCAGTTCAACCATTACTATCTTCCAAAGGGAGAAAATGTGCAATTCAGTCATCCTTGCCCATACTAATGAAATATCCCACTCATAATCTAGCCACAACAGCACCAGAATAGAGGAGAAGATGTCCCAGCCGAGAGAGGAGCCTTGAACTAAAGCATGTCCAATAGAGTTTGACCATTTTTTGCATTTCAAAACTTTTGAAAATATGTCACTTTTGATCTTTTGGCATAAGGAAGAAGAAGATGCATAAGAATTGCAAAAAATTTTATCATTTCCTTCCCTCCAAAGGTGATAAACTGAGCAGCAAATTAAAAGATAATAGAAGGGCTTAACCCTGGCCTGATTCTCACTAGTGAATTCAAATGCCTGAAGGATATTGGGTCTAAGGAGGAGACTTCTCATCTTAGGAACAAGCTTGGTTATAACTGAGAAAGAATAGTCACATTTGAAAAACAGATGTGTGGCAGTTTCAATAAAGGAATGACATAGAGGACAGATGGCATCAACAAAAATTCTCTTGGATATAAGAACATCAACAGTCATAAGCCCTCCCTTTAACCCTATCCAACAGTAAGAAAAAAATCTAAGAGCATAACGCTTGTACCATACAAAATGATTCTAGTTCATAGTAATGTTAACCATATGTAAATAACCTAGGTAAGAGTTGTGTATACTTTCATTCCCATTGCCCCATAACAGGCAACCTTTAACATTCGTATTAATAGGAATGACAGAGGAGGTTTGGAGTAGAGTAGCAGACAAATATGAAGGCAGCTCCCAATCATGAACCTTTAAGATGATAGAAATTCTAGAATTGATAGGAAAATGATTTAAGATGGAATGCATATCAGTGACCTCATCCAGCAATTTCCCATTATACCAATGATCTCAGTAAAGGGAAATGGGAGAATTTGATAAAACCTTAAAAGTGGAAATTTCCTTTAGCTGATCGGGAACTTTTCAAAAGTTTTTCCATAAATCAAAAGCTTTAGATGCAGGTGATTCCAAGGAGACAAATATTTATAGAAGAGCCAAGTAGAGAGAGGGCTGCTGCAGTTTTAAATCTTCTCAATAAGAGAACAATTACAGCTTAATTGTACAGAATAAAAGGAAGGAATACTAAGACCTCCAAAAACTTTGGGCTTACAAGTGCTTTTCTACGAGATAAGATGAAGTTTGCGGGTGGCAATATCACTAAAGTAGAGGAATTTAGCACATAGTTTCTCAATTTGCTTAATAAAGATTTTCGATAGAACGAAATCATGAATCCAATAAGCAATCGTGTTACAAATAGTGAATCATAAAAATTGTAATCTACCAGCAAAAGATAAAGCTTTAGCTTTTCATCTAGAGAGTTTATGAGTAATAGTTTCCATCAATTTAGAAAAGTTAGATAGCTTTGGGTTGTAAGGGGATATAGGAATTCTAAGATAAGATATGTAAGTGGAAGTGGAGGGGATGTTAAGGATAGCGCAAATGTTGTTTGCATTTTGACAGTTTGAGGGCAAAATGAGGGAGCTCTCCCAAAAATTCAAATCCAAATAAAAAACCTCAAAGAATTGATTAAGTAGCTGACAGAGAATCCCACAATTATGAACTTCAGCTTTCCCAAAGATAATGAGATCACCAGCATACATGAGGTGAGAAATTTGAAGCCCATCTACATGAAGTGCATTAAACATAACATCATTAGATGGACAATCCAGGAGACAGGAAAAAACATCCATGACTTTACAAAAAACGTAAGGGCTTAAAGGGCACCCCAACCTAAACCCAGCAGAAGAGGGAAAAAACCCTTCGAGAGTCCCATTAATGCATAATAAAAACCAGATATCATTAATATAGGCTCTAATCCACTTGATAAACATGTTAGGAAAACATTTCTGCACCATCATCACAATAAAAAAAAATCTTTGGAAATACTATCAAATGCTTTTTTAATATCAAGTTTATCATATAAAAGTTTAAGCTTAGCAGTATTTCTAGAATGGAAGAGGATCTCATTGGCTAAAGATCCTATTATGAATGAAGCCAGTTTAATTTCCTTTGATGATATAGGGCATTAATGGTTTCATCCTAGCAGCCAATATTTTAGTAATAATTTTATAACTGGTGTTGCAAAGAGAGATAGGCCTGAAGTCTGAGATGACCTCTACATGAGTGGTTTTAGGAATGAGGATGATGGTTATTGCCTTGGCAGCACGAGGAATGTAAGCATTAAGGTAAAAAGACTTCACGGCATGGCAAATTGCAGGACCAATGACAACCCAAGTCGATTTATAAAACTCAAAGTTGAAGCCATTCAAACCCAAGGTTGAATTAGAAGGACCGAAAAACATAGCTTTATACATATTTAGTTAATAAAATACAACATTCTAATAAAAAAATAATAATCTTATTAGCCTTTGCCTGTTGTAATTATATAATTTTTCTTCTCATTGGTATTTGTATATGCTCTTCAGACAGCCGCAAGCCTGTCAAGTTTTGCTTTTCCTAATCGTCATTTCTTCATTGTTGCTTCAATTTCGCATTAAGTAGCGTATTGGCAGTACAATCTTCCTTTCTCTCTCTCATTTTAAATTCGATACGACTGACTGCCTGAAGTCAATCGAAAAGCATGCTTTTTTCCGCTGCTTTCTCCAGCATTTACTCCTGCGCTTCGTCTTCTTCAATCCTCTAGATCTTCTAAACTCCCAAATTTAGTAAATTCAGGCCATAGAACAAAAATGGGAAAACTATGTTATCCCTAAGGAGTTCATGCATCTTGAATTAAGTTATTTTTTATGTATATCTTAAGATTTATTGTATTTAAACTCTATTATTTCACATTTATACTCGATAATCTTATAAATATTTTTATTTTATTAACAAGTGTTCTATTTGTTTTGTGTGCTAGAGTTTCTATTATATTTTATTATGATAAAGAAAATAAAATACAACCAAATACATCCAAGTATATAAAAAATGTAGTTCGGAATGACCAGGATGATAATTGTGACGCACATTATCACCCAATGATGCTTGTTATAGTGTAGTCGACAATCATTTAGATTCAACACTCATGAACTTATTGTAGCAAAACATGTAGTTCCAACTTTCTATCAGCCAATGAAGCAAACCTCTGTACATATTTACAGAGCTCAAAACTCGGAAGATCGAAGATCTCATTCCAGCAAGCAATTCACTCGACCATGATGCCTTTTATCTGAAGGGTTTCCAACTTCTTTGGCCTTTTATAGTTCTTAAGTAAGAGCGAGCACATGACAACACTGACTGATGAAGCTGCCATAGCAGCGCCTGCAACCCATGGCGGCAATCGAAACCTTGTTGAAGGGAATAAAACTCCAGCAGCAATAGGAATGCCAATGATGTTGTAACCAAGCGCCCACATGTAGTTCATGCGAATCCGTGAGAAGGTTTTCCTTGAAAGATCTATAGCAGTTATAACATCCTCTAGGTTGCTTTTCATGAGAACAATATCAGCCGCTTCAATGGCGACGTCAGTGCCGGCACCAATTGCCATACCTACATCAGCAGATACAAGTGCCGGCGAGTCGTTGATTCCATCACCAACCATGGCCACCGTTAACCCAGACATCTTCATATATGGCATAAATGAGAAGATTAAGGTTTGAGTATTAAGTGATTCAGAAGTCACTAATAGACATATTGATTATAAAATAAATAAGGATATTAAGATAGGAATGAATGGAGGACCATAATTAATGATAATTGTGATGACGGAAATCATAAGCAAAGTCAAAATACCTGAAGTTCTTTCACTTTTTCTGCCTTGTCTCCAGGCTTTGCTTTAGCAACAATGGTGTCTATCCCAACCTCTTTGGCAATGGCCTTTGCAGTGCCCCAATTGTCTCCTGTTACCATAATGCTCCTCACATCCATGGACTTAAGAATGTTTATGACATCCTGGGCACCAGGTTTCAGGGGATCAGAAACTGCAATCACTCCCACAATCTCCTGGTTCATGGCCACAAGGATTCCTGTTTGTGCCATTTCCTCAGCTTCCTTGAGAAGTTCTAAAGCTTGATCTGGGATTTCAATGCCAGAGTCCTGCATCAAACTCTCGTTTCCTACAATGAGCTCTTTGTTTCCTACTATGGCTTTGACGCCATGACCCGTGATAGACACGAAGTTTTGTGCTGCAGGCCAAGTATATTTTTCTTCTAATGTAAACTTCCTTGCATACTCCACAATGGCCTTCGCCAAGGGATGCTCGCTGTTTGCCTGTTTAGTATGTATTAAGGTGTTAGTACGAAAGCCTATATTTTGAGAGGAATATTACAGCAACTCGTTGGAATATAATTAATTAGTTGAGATAACAGATAAGCTGATGAATATTGAAAATAAACATCATTGGCTTATGCTTCAATGGCAGGGAAAGAAGTACTGCAGAAATTCATATTTTGTTGAACATCACTATATTAAGATTCCAAATTATTTTAGGAAAGTTTATAACAAAAATATGTTTTCCAGTATTGTTGAAGGTTAATGATACCAACCTCAGCAGCTGCAACATATTCATAGAAATCACGCAAGGTCATATTCTTCAAAAGCCTTGTGCTAATGACAACCGGCTTCCCTGTTGTAAGAGTGCCTGTCTTGTCAAAAACAATGCAGTTCACCTACAAAAATAAATCAGCTTTCGGTGTAAATGGCAGTAAAGCATCCAACAAATTGGGAACAAGAAATTCTAAAAATATACTGAAAGCCATAATATCATTATGTTAAATGAAAATAGAGTTAGACTTCTATGGATTTCCGAGTTTATATTGTTAGGAGAGCATCTCTACCTAAGTGTAGGTATGTTAACAAAAAACTACAAAAAAAGATCAAGCATCACAAAAAAGGAACACCTAAATTTACATGATTTGACTTAAGTGAGTTTACATATTTAACAATATAGAGATCAAGTAATCCAACATCCAAAAAAAATATATTAAAGTTTAAACTTCATACAAAGTTGGATAAAGTGACAAAGATACCACTTATCAAATTAACAGAAAATACAATTAAGTAGTGCAAAAATGACGGCTATACATGAAGAAGGATATGCCTAAGGTTTAAATTGCGCAATTACTTATTGAGGCGTCTTTTGTTCATGAGATGAGGCATAAGCCAATCAAGGCATTTTTCACCGGAAAGATGACATTAATTTTCTATTGAACTAAGAAGTAACCAATTGACATGCATATGAAACAAAAATTACAAAAAACATAAATTTGCAAGTGATAAATTGTGTGAAATAAAACTAAAATCCAAATATTACAATAACAAAATAACATAAAAATATAAGAATTGCATAAAAGTATCATATAACATCAAGTTCAACTTCAAATTAATTCTTTTCCAGTTCCCTGCTCATTAGTATTTCATTCACAAATAAAGCTAAAATAGTTGACAATGACTCAAAAATTATTTGTACTGTCATCATCGAGGGGTCTTTATTTGAGTTGTCATCATAATAAATTGGACTCTCTCCAACCTTATCTCGTGCTGCTCAATGCCTCGCAATATGCTTCTTCTTTATTTATTTCAATTATCTTAAACTTTCATTAATATTTGTCATCAACATGAAGATAAAATTAATACTTTAAAATTTTTAGATTTTTAGATGAGGAAGTGGTCGTAGTATGCGGTTTCCAAGTGAACATCGGTGGTGGCTATGACAGTAGTAGTTGCTGCGGAGGCAACGAGCTGAAGGTTGAGGCAGCTGAGAGGAAGCTGATGCGGCTCAGGGATGCATGAAGGCATGATTTGTTGGGGCTGTAGTTTATAATTTAGGCATATTTTAATAGAAAATATATATAAATAAGATGAGGCGTATGACTAGCGCCAACAAGGTGAGGCACGCCTCAGCCAAACAGAGACACATGCCTTATAAAAAAACTTGATGCATAAGCCTCAATGCATTTTTCATAGGAATTTCACAAATTAGAACTCCAAATGAGAAATAGCACTAGCTATGACCAATAACTTCCTTCTCTAACTAAACCAAAAAATAGTAACATTCTTCCTTTTGGAGAAAAAAGATTCGTGTAGCCGACCCCACATATTGGGATAAAGGCTTGTTGTTGTTGTTGTTGTTGTATTATTTTTCTAGGATCATAAAAAAATATTTTACAGTAGCTATACCTTTCTATTATTTAATATCATATACTTAGTATCATTTTTGCTTCGATGAGACATCACCATAATTGTTAAATCCAACACATCAACACATGATATTGCACTTTACAATGAAAACTCCAATAACTTTATTTGCCTTCAAAACAACCAACACACACTGCCAGACCTTAAAGGTGAAAGGTGTCATAATCACCAAAGAATTTATATCTTCCAGCACTACTAGCACAAGAATATTATATTCCTATTCAAATATGGTGAATACCTGATTCCAACCAATGATAAAGTTACACCACCATATACCCTTAATGCCATAACCTTCAATGTTGCATATAATTCAATTTTCAAAATAAATGTTTTGAAAAAATGTGATAAAGAGTAATTGAGCATAGGTTACACCGTTTACTAATGTTCCTCAAAATCAATTTGGATTCATGCCGAATTTGTATACTATGGAAGCTATGCATTTGTTGAGGTATTTGATGGAAAAATATAGAGAGAGTAAGGAGAATCTATATATAATAATTATTGTTCTAGAGAAAGCATATGATAAAGTTCCAAGAGAGCTCTAGAAAAGAAATGAGTTAATAATGCATATATTCAAGTCATTGAGGATATAGGAGCTGTTATTTATGTTCGAACACATGATTATTTGACTAAGCATTTTCCTATTTTACTTGGATTACATCAATGATCAACTTTCAACTCATATCTTATTGCTTTAGTCATGGATGTTCTTACTAGACATTTGCAAGAGGATGTGCCTTGGTGTATGTTTTTTGCTTATGATATTCTTCTTGTTGATAAGACTAGAAAATTTGATGAAAAACATGAATTATAGATATCAACCTTAGAGTCTAAAAATTTCTAAAATTTTTCATTTGAGTGGATCTTAAATCAATACATTGAGGGTAATTTTAATAGTAATAGATCTAATAGTGTGATTGTAACATTGGGTGATCAAGTCATTAAAAATAGTACACGTTTTAGATATTTCAGGTTTTATGGTTCAAAGCTGTGGTGGAACAAATGAGAATATTTTTAATAGAACTCAAGTTAGATAGTTGAATTAGCAGTATGCATATGTTGTGTGATAGAAAAGTATCCCTCAAATGTAAGGAAAAAATTTATAAGATGGTTGTGAGACCTAGAATACTTTATTGCGCAAAATATTGGCCATTAAAAGAAAAACATAAAATTAAGTATTGTAGAGATGAGAATGCTCAAATGGATTCTTAGAGACAGAATGCATAACGAGTATATATGTGAAAAGGTCAACATACCTCCAATGGAAAATAAGATTAGGGAGAGTCATCTTAGATAGTTTGGTCACATAAAATGTTGGCCCTCCGGTGCCCTTTAAGAGAGTAGATATATTAGATCTGGACTATGTTAAGAAAGGTAGAGGTAGACCTAAAAAGACTTAGCTATGATTATTAAAAATGACATTTTTCTTATTTTATTTAAATGAGAATTTGACTCTTAATTAAACACAATGAAAAAAATGTATTCATATAGCTAACCCCAAATAGTGGGATAAAGCCTTATTGCTGTTGTTGTTGTAAGATTGCCTCCAATGTGGCCTATAGGACTTTATTTAAATCACCAAAATAGCCTTCACAAAATAATGTCATAATCATTAAAATATTTGGGTGCAGGAGCAGGTACTGTGGTCGTTGACCAAGACAGAACTTGAATGCGCGAGTTATGTAATCTATGATTGACTACAACATAGCAGAAGCAAGATAAGGTATTTATGAAGCTAAGAAGACAAAATTAAAGCTCGCATTGGCGTTGATAAAAGATGCAATTGAAGAATTTACTAATTCCATACCTTATGAGCACTCTCAAGTGCTTGACCTCCTTTAATCAACACACCCTGAGAAGCACCAACTCCAGTGCCCACCATGACAGCAGTGGGGGTTGCCAAGCCAAGTGCGCATGGACATGCTATGACCATAACTGATATGCCAAATTGAAGGGCAAGCTGAAACCCATCCATTGAAGATGGAATCCAAGATTTTGGATAGCCATTGTATTTTCCCACTAGAAACCAAGCCAGCCAAGTTAAGAGTGATAGAATAATGACCTGCACATAACACGCATAAATTAAAAAATCCAAACATCCGTCAATTTAGGCTTTTGAGTGGCTGAAAATGTATTTTAACTATCCAACAGCAAAAAGATGAGATATATCAGAAATAATATATGCATCCAGATACATGCAAATGACATACAACTTGAGACTGCCATATAAAATCACCGAAGGCTGGTTCCATGAACTAGATGACTTGATGAGAATGCTTATTGATTTGTCTATAAGCTTATTCATGAAGCAAATAACATAATTTAGCAAACATTTATCTCATAAATTCGATTGAGCATAAATGAAGGTAGAAAGAGTATTTACATAACCAACTCATAGGTAAACTCCAACTACCTACAATAGCAACAGCATTGGTCCAACTTTGCAAAAGGCGTTCACAAGAAGGATCCTTCAGCATTCACACCATGTCAAAGATGTAACAGTTTTAACTATTGAGGCACATGGAACTTCAGATTTAGTCTATCCCAGATAGTTGAAAATAGGTTGGTACACAAATACTAAGAGATTAGCCCTTGTCTATAAGCTTAAACATTTGGGTTGAAAATAGATTTCAACACTAGCATATCCAGCCCAACTTTGATCCTCATTTGATTTTACCCTTAAAAAGTGATCATAGGCGATGATTTGGCTTACGATAAAATGGTTTATGGGTCTGTGGCATTCAAAGGTTTTTAGTGCCTTAAATCATCATTGAGCAAAATTTAAGAGTAGTGAATCCCATAGTGCCTCTCATCATTAAGTGGGCTCTTGTCATATGATAGAAGACGATGTTGAAAAGTTTTTGTTTAAGGAGAGTGATGGATGATATGGAGAGCATTTATGCGAGGAGGAAACATTTAAGGCACATGAGAATTTAGGTTAATCTATATTTGATGGTTGAAAAATTATATTTCTGTGAAAATACTTAGCGGTTAGCCCTTATAGGCTTTCAGGTTGAAAACTAACTTGATTAGAATAAATGTAACCCTACTTTAGTGATCTTTTGATTTCATCCTCTATAAAATTATCTAGTTTAGGAAAAACTGTTCTAAATGGCTTTGACCATGTTAGCCAACCCTTTTCTTTCCTAACATTAAGATTACTTCTAGCACCGTACCTCATTGATGTTTTTAGCCCATTGAATAAGAGACTACTCAACATGCACGTACAATGATAAGTTCAGTCTGATAGTTGTTGTATATTAAGCAAACCTTGAATTAACATGAATAAGACTAATTCTTTAACTTTTGAATGGATTTTAAGAAAGCAAGAAAAGTAATTGTTGAACTTACAAGTGGTACAAAATATTTGGAAATGCGATCAGCATACTTCTGTACAGGAGCTTTGGCCATTTGAGCTGATTCAACAAGGCGAACAATTTGTGATAAAGCACTTTCAGATCCAACATGTGTTGCCCTGACATGCAACATGCCATTCTCATTTACAGTGCCCCCTATCACACTATCCCCCTTCCTCTTTGCAACAGGTCTTGCTTCTCCAGTTACCATACTCTCATTGACATAGGTCTGACCGCATATTACAAAGCCATCACAAGCTACCTTTGCACCAGGCATCACTTTGATCACGTCATTATGTTGTATCAATCGACTGTCAATTTCCCTTTCACTAACTATATTTCCATCTTCGTTATGAATGATGAGGACTGCAGTTTCTGGTGCCAAGTCCATGAGTTTAGCAATGGCCTCTGATGTTTTGCCTTTTGCTAGTACCTCAAGATACTTCCCGAGTAGAATGAAAGAAATGAGCATAGAACTTGTCTCAAAGAAATCATTCGACTCAAAATCTCGAGAAGTCGCTGCTCTGAGCACAGAGTAAACAGAGTAAAAATACGCTGCATTGGTTCCAAGAGCTATCAGCACATCCATATTAGCAGATCCATGTCTCAAAGCTTTGTACGCACCAGTATAAAACCTTCGGCCAATTATAAATTGCACGGGAGTTGATAATATCCACCTTAGAAGCTCTCCGATGCTTAACATATTCACTACTTTGATATCTAGCTTGTGATTTATGCCAGGAATATACATAAACACCATGGAAAAGAGAAATACTGGGACCGTGAATAGCAAGCTCCAGAGGAAAGAATGGTAGTACTGCCTAATCTCTTCACGCTTGTGCGATTCCCTCCCCCCTCCTTCTGAGTATATTGTTGCTGATAAACGACCAGAATCTATTGATTGAATCACTTCAATGAAGTTACGAGGGCCAGTTTGATCTGGCTTGTAGGATACTGAAACTGTATGAAGAACAGGATCCGTAACAATTTCCTCTATGCCAGGGAGTGCCTGGAGTGAACTTTCAACCATTCTGATAGACCTTTCAGTGCAGGCCCCTTCTATTTTAAGTTGTATTTTGTTCCTACCTTCCCCTGCTGTAATCAGTATTGCTTCAAATCCAGTATCATCAACTCCCTTGATGAGTTGGTCAGCACTTACAAGCTTAGGATCATAACGAATTTCTGCCTCTTCAGTTGCCAAGGCCACTACAGCTTTTTGGACCCCAGGAATAGATTGTAATGCTGATTCCACTGTACTGGAGCAAGAAGTACAGGTCATCCCCTTAATATGCAGCCTGCATGTAAGAGTTGTTAATTCTTTAACATCATCTTGAATCAATGCAACTTCAAATCCAGCATCTTCAACTGTTTCTCGAATTTGATCCTCCTGCAGTTGTAACATTTCATAAAAAGTAACAGTCAAGAACAGGAGTGGAGCATGAAGTACATAATATTATTATGCACATTCATTAGAACCTCTGTAATAAAAAAAAAAAGTTCATTGGGTAACCAAATGCTGGATTTAAAGTACCTTTCCGGACTGGAAAAAAAAAGGTTTAGGAGAACAATGAAGAAGGAACACAAGTCTTGACATATAAAATGAGAGGGTTGAAAAGGAAAAAAATAGACACAGGTGTGAGCATACCATACAGAAAAATTAATTACAAAACTATAGAGATATGTTACTAAAAATATAAAAGAACTAGCATATGACACAAAGCAGCATCCATAAAACAACATTAAAAGTAGAGGAATGACCTTCCACATCGCAAAATTTAAAGCATAATCTTCAATCACCAAACACTAAATATATCTTTAATCAGCATGCTTCTTGCAACTTTAGCAGCTTAGAGAGACGTAATGAATTTGCTGATTACCTTGCTGGAAATAACAAAAACTTTTGACTCTTTAACTAATCCAACATCCCACAGATTGTTCAATGAAGCCCAAATTCTTATATAAGATCAAATCATTTATCCACTATGACCAAACAGCAAAAGTATATGTCTCTTCCTTCAATAACAAAGACAAACTATTGAAAAATAAATACCCCTTATAAAATATCATCATATTTATGAAAGAAGATATATATATATATATACGCGCGCGTATAATGGATCTAATATTTCTACAAACATTTGGCTAAAGCTACATTTTAATGAAATGGGCAGAGCTCAAAAGGCAATGGAAGAAATAAATTAAAATAATTAATCAAAACGACAAATGAAAATGGAATTAAGCACTATGCTTCTTCGTGTTTTAGTTCAACTTGTAAAATTTAAAAAGCGGCATTTCTTATCAGACTTAAAAATACTGATCAGGTAGAGATCCATTCCATCCATCTTCAAGCAGAGGGAACAATGAAGTGAATCTCCAGTTCACGGAGAAACAACCACGCGCTTAAATAAAAATACTATAGATGACATTAATCGAAATTACAACATAACAATACAAAATTAATCATGGCAGATTAAAAGAAATACGAAGAGAAAATAGGAAAAGAGATTATTACAAAGAAACTCATAGATAAACAAAAAGATATTAATCACAAGAACCCTATAACTAACTGAAGCTTGCAGTTAAAAATAAAAGCACATTTAAATCCACCCGTTTCTAAAATCTAAAAATAAAATATCATACATTCATCACCGTTAAACAACCCAAAAAAGATCTCACCAAAACGATTTCGATTGAAGTAGAATTCAACTCAAGCAGGACAATCCTGTAAATCCGGATATACTAAATTTTGAGGGTATTAAATACTGAAATTGTTCGAAATAATAGAAGTAAAAATCTTATAGATTTTCTGTAAGCTGAAATAATATTTTAATAATTATTATTGATAACAAAATTAATACATAGTACATGAAACTAATCGAATCATGCTTAATCATCAAATTAAATATAAATATCTCAACAAATTATTAATTAGCAGTTATTAAACAAGGTATTCCACATAAGAAAATACTAACCATCTTCACTAATTATTAGAATATATATAAAGTCGTTTAAATATTTCGGTAAATAGGTTTATTTTCCAGAATGCTCAGTAGCCGTTAATCTATTATTTTAGTCTTAAGTGTTTTCTATAAATAGACTGGCGTGGCTTTGTGTAAAAGGTAATAAAGATAGAATACGTTTCTTGCTACATCTTCTTCTTTCATTCTTTCTTGTTTTCTCTCGGTTGCACTATTTCTACATGGTATCAGGAAAAGGTCTTTGATCCTGAGAAATGGTTGAATCCGATTCTTCCACCAGGCTGCACGATCGCAGCTCCGGCTCGTCCATCGACGACCCAATGATTCCGGCAACGTTGAAATTCGTTGTCTCTAACCTTCGAAATCTTGTTACAACTCCGCTCGTCCCTGACAATTTCTTGATCTGGAAATCCCAGATCTTGAAAACTCTTCGTGCTAACGATTTTTCTCAATTTCTAGACTCTAAAATTCCTCCACCACCTCAGTTCTTGTTGAATTCCGACGGCTCCTCGTCCTCCAATCCCTGCTACTCGCAATGGCTGCTCACCGATCAGAACTTATCGGCCTCCATTTTCTCCACGATCTCCTCCTCGATTCTTCCCTACGTCATTTCGCTGGACTCTACCGCTCAGATCTTGGCGGCACTTGAAACCCGGTTTCAAGCCACAAATCGGTCCAAGGTGATACAGCTCAAAAATGCATTACACAATGTATCGCTCAAGAATCAGTCCATGACTGAGTATCTCTCGGAGATCAAAGCCATTGTGGATCAAATTGCGTCGGCTGGTTCGTCCATAGATGACGAAGATGTGATTCACTACATCTTGAATGGCCTCCCGCAACCCTATCAGTCGTTCAAATCGGCAATTCGAACGACACCGCTACCTCTTAGCTTGGGTCAAATATATCCGCTGCTTCTAAGTGAGGAAATCAATCTTGCCTCAGATGCAGCTCGGTTTCCTGCGGCTACAGATCTGAACGTCGCGTTATTTACAAGCAGAGGTCGTGGAAGAAGGACACGAGGCAAGAACACCTACAGTTCTGCCAATACAACTCGAAATAACCCAAACGCCTCGATCTTCTGTCAAATTTGTTCCAAGAAAGGTCATTCCGTTCAGTCGTGTTGGCATCGTCTTGATCTGCAATACACTCCACCTATCAAGAACACAAACACTGCTCTGCTGGACTCGTCGGACACAACGGACGCAAACTGGTTCTTGGACTCAGGTGCTTCATCGCATCTCACCAATTTCCTGGATAATCTATCGATATCCAAGCCATATCTAGGATTGGACAACGTCACTATTGGCGACTTCCATTCTATCAGCATTGCTCGGCGAGGGCGGGAATTCTCCCGACCCCATCTCATAAGCTGAGACTATCTCAAATTCTTCACACTCCTACACTTAAATACAACATAGTTTCTATCTCTCAACTTACTAAAGACAATAACATATCTATTACTTTTGACCCTTCTGGTTTGACGTTGAAGGATCTAGCGACGCAGGAAACGCTCCTTCGAGGACCGTCTAAAGATGGGCTCTACGCTGTTCCTATGCTCTCGTCAACCTGATCTCACAAAGCTCTCTCCGTTCAGCTGGAAACGACCAAGATCTGGCATCAACGCTTAGGACATCCTCATAAGCGCATTTTTTATTTCATTTCTAATTGTTATCCCTTTCTTAAAATGAATAAACACTGCGCTCCCTGTGAATCTTGCACTGCTGCTAAGTGTCACAAACTCGTTTTTCAAAACTCTAACAATAAGCAAAAGCAACCGCTCGATCTCATACACAACGATGTTTGGGGTCCTGCCCCGATCATCTCGAATCAAGGATTTAAATTTTACGTGATATTTGTTGACGATTATACGCGTTATACCTGGATATATCCGATTAGATTTAAATCTGATGTGTTTCCTACGTTTGTAAATTTCAAAAATCAGATTGAAAATCTTACTTCACAACGTATCAAATCGCTCCGCACCGATGGAGGAACATAATTTGTTAACTCGTCGTTCCAAAACTTCCTCCTCACTCACGGCATATCCCACCAGCTTTCGTGCCCCTACACGCCGGAACAAAACGGGCTCGCTGAGAGAAAGCACCGTCATATTATCGAAACAACTCTCACGTTGCTTCTCACGACCTCCTTGCCATATGTGTATTGGCCGGAAGCGGTCACCACCGCCGTCTACTTAATAAACAGGTTACCGTCCTCTACAACTGAAAATTTTACTCCTGTTGAACTTATGTATAACAGGAAACAGGTATATGAGGAACTTAAAGTGTTTGGATGCAAATGCTATCCTCTATCTCCTCCTCAGAACTGCAACAAACTCATGCCCACTGCACAACCCTGTGTCTTCCTTGGTTACTCCGATGTCTTGAAAGGTTACAAGTGTCTCAACACTCAAACCAACAAAATCACGATATCTCGGCACGTTATTTTTCATGAAAATGTTTTTCCATTCTCCATGACTTCGATTAATACTACTACTAAAAAGGCTGACATTTGTCCGCTGCTTTTAACACCATATTCTACTAGCTCTTCTAACACAGCTGATCCTGCAATTAACAATAATGTCTCTATGGAAGCAAAGTCAAGCGTGCACAATCCCTCACCGCAGAACGACATCAACAACAGTCAGCCTTCTGTACCGTCTCCCGTTGCCCATCCTCCAGAAATCCGTCCGCCTACACAACATCCCATGACTACTCGTAGCAAAACGGGTACTTTAAAACAAACTAAAAGGCTGAATCTTCTACACATTTACCCGTCCAGTTCCAATCAAGCCGATCCTACTACCTACATAGAGGCCTCCAAACATATGCATTGGCGCCATGCTATGGCTGAAGAGATTTTTGCTCTCCAGAAACAGGGTATCTGGAACTTGGTTCTCCCTCCGGACAACGCTTCAATCCTTGGTTCAAAATGGACGTATAGAACGAAATACCAGACAGACGGCTCGATATCCAAACATAAAGCAAGATTGGTCGCACAAGGCAACCACCAAGAGTTCGGTATTAACTATACCAAGACGTTCAATCCGATTGTAAAATTACCAACAATTCGAATTTTGCTAACAATCACGCTCAACAAAAGCTGGCCTGTTCAACAGCTTGACGTTGCAATGAAGTACATAATATTTGATCCTCCTGCAGTTGTAACATTTCATAAAAAGTAATAGTCAAGAACAGGAGTGGAGCATGAAGTACATAATATTATTATGCACATTCATTAGAACCTCTGTAATAAAAAAAAAAGTTCATTGGGTAACCAAATGCTGGATTTAAAGAACCTTTCCGGACAAAAAAAAAAGGTTTAGGAGAACAATGAAGAAGGAACACAAGTCTTGACATATAAAATGAGAGGGTTGAAAAGGATAAACAATAGACACAGGTGTTAGCATACCATACAGAAAAATTAATTACATGACTATAGAGATATGTTACTAAAAATATAAAAGAACTAGCATATGACACAAAGCAGCATCCATAAAACAACATTAAAAGTAGACGAATGACCTTCCACATCGCAAAATTTAAAGCATAATCTTCAATCACCAAACACTAAATATATCTTTAATCAGCATGCTTCTTGCAACTTTAGCAGCTTAGAGAGATGTAATGAATTTGCTGATTACCTTGCTGAAAATAACAAAAACTTTTGACTCTTTAACTTATCCAACATCCCACAGATTGTTCAATGAAGCCCAAATTCTTATATAAGATCAAATCATTTATCCACTATGACCAAACAGCAAAAGTATATGTCTCTTCCTTCAATAACAAAGAAAAACTATTGAAAAATAAATACCCCTTATAAAATATCATCATATTTATGAAAGAAGCACATATCACAAAACATGAAAGAACTTAACCAACAAGGACGTCCCAAATGACCAATATAAGGGATATGTATATATATATAATTTAGGGTCAAATTGCGCAGAGGTGCGCCTCAAAGGACAGGATACTTGTCCAGCCCAACAATGTTGCTGCCAATGAACCAGGGACCTCTGCAAAGGACAGCATCCCTAGCTTCAACAGAAGAAACACGCAAACAAAGCATTCAAATCCCAAGGTCGTCAACTGGAAATCTCCAAACTTCCCCATTGGCACTGGATCTCCGATTTAAGCAAGAAATAGGACACCCTTCTCCCCAGAATCTTCCCAACTACCGCTCTCTCCAGCATAGACAAATTAGATTTTATAACTTCCAGATTAAGATCAATCTAGATCTCGTCAGCGAAACGTTTGAGGCGGTTTTGGGTCAAATTACGCAGAGGCGCGCCTCAAGGCGCGCCTCTTATTGCGCAATTTTAAACAGATATATATATATATATACACACACACGTGCGTATAACGGATCTAATATTTCTACAAACATTTCGCTAAAGCTACATTTTAATGAACTGGGCAGAGCTCAAAAGGCAAAGGAAGAAATACAACAACAACAACATCAAGCCTTTATCCCACTACGTGGGGTCGGCTACATGAATCCTTTTTCTCCATTGTGTCCTATTAAAAGTCAAATTCTCGTGTAAATCTAATAAAGAAAGGTCATTCCTAATATTTTCTAACAAAGTCTTTTTAGGTCTACCCCTACCTTTCTTAACATAAGTCAAATCTAATACCTCTATTCTCCTAACCGGGTCATCGCAAGGCCGCCGTTTTATGTGACCAAACCATCTAAGGCGACTTTCTCTAATCTTATCTTCTACTGGAGCTACTCCAACCTTTTCACAAAGGCAAAGGAAGAAATAAATTAAAATAATTAATCAAAACGACAAATGAAAATGGAATTAAGCACTATGTTCCTTCGTCTTTTAGTTCAACTTGTAAAATTTAAAAAGCGGCATTTCTTATCATTCATAAAAATACTGATCAGGTAGAGATCCATTCCATCCATCTTCAAGCAGAGGGAACAATGAAGTGAATCTCCAGTTCACGGAGAAACAACCACGCGCTTAAATAAAAACACTATAGATGACATTAATCGAAATTACAACATAACAATACAAAATTAAGCATGGCAGATTAAAAGAAATACGAAGAGAAAATAGGAAAATAGATTATTACAAAGAAACTCATAGATAAACAAAAAGATATTAATCACAAGAACCCTATAACTAACTGAAGCTTGCAGTTAAAAATAAAAGCACATTTAAATCCACCTGTTTCTAAAATCTAAAAATAAAATATCATACATTCATCACCGTTAAACAAACCAAAAAATATCTCACCAAAACGAAAATATCACATTATACTAAGGGGCTGTTTCCATTGAAGTAGAATTCAACTCAAGCAGGATTTAGTCAATCCTGTAAATCCGGATATACTAAATTTTGAGGGTATTAAATACTGAAATTAATCGAAATAATAGAAGTAAAAATCTTATAGATTTTCTGTAAGCTGAAATAAGATTTTAATAATTATTATTGATAACAAAATTAATACATAGTACATGAAACTAATCGAATCATGCTTAATCATCAAATTAAATATAAATATCTCAACAAATTATTAATTAGCAGTTATTAAACAAGATATTCCACATAAGAAAATACTAACCATCTTCACTAATCAATTAGAGTTCAATACCTAAAAGTTACACGTCTATCATCCACCGATCACAAAGAAAAAGCAAAATTGTATTAGTGAGAAAACAAGTAACAGAGAGATCAAGACTTACCGAGACGAAATTGGGGTAAAAGATAACTTGAGCACGGTTGTTGAGGACATCGATTGCGGCGTTGTGGATGCCCGGTAGTCGCTTGATCGCCTTCTCCACCGACCCAGCGCAGGCTGAACACGCCATTCCGTACACAGAGAACGTCACCGTCCTATGCCCCTCCGGCGGCGCCTCTACGTCTTTTCTAGTTCCCATCGCCTCCTCCTTAGCCACCCCCTTCGGGTACCTCGGCATCGATGGATATCGGGGCCTCGCAGAGAGGTCTCGCGAGGAGCCCTCTGCCAAGAAGCAGGACATTAGAAATCCTCTTCTCGCCATTTTGATCTCACTTCCTGAGCTCCTTTCTTCTTCCTTCGCTCAATGTCTCTGAAATGGCTTCTCGTGTCGCCTCCGCTTTCTCTAGCTCTCTCGAAATCGTAAATTTGAAAATAAATTTATAATAAAGACAGGGATGCAACCACGGAGACATTCGAAAGCCGAATAAGGAAACAACTCGGCATCTTGGACCTACACGTGGAAAGATGCAATAAAGTCATTTATTCAAACGGGTCCTTGTTTTTCGTAAAATCTATTTTATGCCTCAATAAAATGTTTTTTTTTTTTTGGGAAAATTTGGGGCCTTAGCCCATCTCATTAATGAATGAAAATGATACAACTAAAAAGATCATTTGCTAAAGGCAAAAAGGAAGCAAATGACAAAACATATCAGCCCAGGTGCTTAACAAAAACAAACCTATGAAAAGAAAAGCGAATACAAAAGGACTCAGTAAGCAATCCATAGAATAAAAACCCAGCTAGCCAAAATCATCCAGACGGATGAGAAGATCCTCTGGTTGCCGAAAAGAAGCTGCTTCCTGGCCCTCCAAGGGGAGTAGAATAGGATTGCGATCATCATAGTCCTTCAAAAGTCCAGTCTCTGGTTGCCCAACAGGACCATCCAGCGACACCAAAACACCAAAAGTGAAACCAGGCATAGTCCAAGCAGCCTTCCAGACCAAAAAGGTAGAAATCCAGTGAACAAAAACTGCTATTTGTTGAAACATTTCCTCTTGAAGCTCTTCAGATAAATAGCCCTCTTGATATTAATGGCAATGGTAGTGTGACATTCAGAAATGTTGCCAAATGCCCTGTCATTTCTAGCTCTCCAGGTAAAATAAACGATAGCAGAGAGTAAGAGGAAACAAAAGTTCTTCCTGCTCTTATCCGTTTCCCTCTCATCAATGTCATTAAAAACTTGCCATAAGTTCGGACGCAAGAACATGTAATTCATTCTAGGAAAAAAACTCTTAAGGATAGTGAAAGAGAAATCACATTCAAACATCAAATGGTTTTGAGTTTCAGTATCAGTGTTGCAGAAATAACAGTTCTGGGGAACATAAATGCCCCTAGCAATCAAAGCATCAGCCGTTTTGAGTTCCTTTTTGAAAGCCATCCAAGAGTAAATGGAAAATCGAAGAGCAGAATGCTTGTGCCAAACAAAACGATGCCAAGAAACCTCCTCTAAGCCAGTATAAAAATGTTTTAAAAAAGTTCTAAAACACGCCTTATCAGAATTAATCCAACCACATTCATCTAACCCAGTGGAAATCGGTACAGAGGAAATAACGGCAGCCAGCTGAGTAGGGATATACGAAGGGATGTTTTTAGAGATCAAACCCTGGAGCTTTTAATAGGCATATAAATCATGCTTCAAGCCTTCAATTATAAATTTTTGGTGAAGATTAAATAGAAAAATACATGCATTTAGAAAATAATAAGTTATTTTATTGGATTCAACTTAAAAATGTTAAATTTTTATTATGATATAGTTTTAAAGTATTGAGTATGATAAATAATGATTGATAGAGATAGTGAAGGATGAACAATGATGATAACGATATCAAGTGAAGAAGATGATATTGTGTTGTAAGTAGGAATGGAACAAAAAAGTGCTTAGGGTGCGCAATTCTCACCCTAATGTCTTTTTTTCTTTAAAAAAATAAATATTTTAACTATTTTGTCCACCTTCAATAAAGCCGAAGACTTTGATTATGATAGCTTTCCTACAGCTTCTTAAAGTAATTTTCTAGTATATATTTTTTTATTAAAAATTTTGTTTTAAAAATTCATAAGAAAGTCATCTCAAACAAAGTCTAAGATTTTATTTCAGATAATTTAGTCATAATATTTTGCTGTTGTCAATAAATTTATATAGAAAGCAGTAAGAAAACTATCTCATATGAAACCTAAGTGATTTGTATAGCTTGTGACTTATATAGTTCAGGAGTCATTTTATGATAACAGAGTAAAATAAAAACGAGCATGTATAATATTGAAGGGGAATTAATATAATTATGATCCAAGGGCGGAACCACCTTATGATCATGGGGGGTGATTGTCCCCCCGGGTATATTTTTTTAAAAAAATTGATTATATGATTTTTTAGGTAATGTATTATTCTTCATTCATTTTTTAGTCTTTATTACAAAGGTTTTAAGCAATTGCCCTTCATAAAAACTTTGCGTTGGGAGAAAGCAATAGAAATTCTCATTAGCGGGCCCGCCAATTGGGCCTTGTATTGGGCTTAGGTTGACAAATTGCATTTGGATCCTTATGTCTTTCCGTCCACTGAGTTCAAATTGTACACGATAATGAGTTACGTTAGTCAATGCATATCAAGGAATTATACAATAAAAAAGGAACTAAACTTTATTTTTATAATTTATCATATTAAAATGCCTTTTTTCTTATCGAATTATTTTCTTTATAATTTATGCAATGACATTTGAGTATTTTTCATTTTTAGTTTAGATTTTGAAAGGACAATTTTTTTAAAATTATTAAAGGTGTAGATGAATTTATTTGTAATCAAAATGAATGCATTATCCCTCACACCTTTTTACGCTCTTTATAGACCTTCAGTTGATGAACAATTTTCCCCAATGTTTATTAGGTGATAAATAAATTATTTAAAAAAAAAATTGTGGCATGTGATAAGAGAAAATTTGTTAATTCCAAATTGCTTATATTATAATATTTTGTGCTTTTAATTCTTATATTTTGTGTAGAAAAATAGTGAAAGTATTATGAAAATTGAACCAACACTCTAGCGCCACAAAGATAGCACCACAGTACCAATGCTCACTCCAACATCGCAGAGGACAGCTCTCATAAAATCACTTAGAGAGCTTAGTGTTGATGCGCTATTCAGGAAGAACCGTATCACCAAATCTCCTAGCTTCGCAACGAGAGATGGTTGAACAAGTGAACTGAAGCGACGAATGGTGAACTAACGTACCTGTCTAGAAGAGTTATGTGCCACCAAGATAGCACTGCGACACTAGTTCAATTATTTTAAAAAATTAAATAGTAATATTAATTTTTATGTTAAGAGGCTGGCACATCCTGGAATCGTTTCGTGTGAGTGTGAGAGGATGTTCTTAAGAGGAAGTGGCTTTGGTATATGTAATTGGTGTGTTGATCAAAGTGGTGTGCAAAGGAGTTATATCTTGAATCTTGGTCATTTCTAACTCTTTTATCTCTTATTTATCTTGTGTTTAAAGTTTGTAATTTATTGTTTATTGAGTGAAATAAAATGTTTGTGTTGTGTAACATTATCTCCATGTATAGTTAAACTTTTCCTCTAAATCTATGATTATTTAACAAGGCATGTATTGCTTAGAGTAGGTTTAATCTTTATAGAATTCATACTATTTTTAATGTCTTCGTACTTCAGTTAATTTATGTATAGATTGTACATAAATAAAAACCTAGTATGATCTAGTGCATTAATGGAGGAATATAAGAACAATTAGAGACTTTAAAATGTAGTCTGATCATAACATATACATATGGTGGTTGGTTGACTCCGTCGGAGAACTACCAGAAGCTCGAAAAGATCAGGAAGGAGCTTTAAAGACGAATCGAACGCCAGGGACAGCGTTCGTGCGTCAAGAACAGGGGAACTACCACCACCTGAATCAGAGAATTCAGGATACAGACAAAATACTACAAGCACCACCTGAACAATAGAGTTCAGGATACAGCCAAAATAACCCGTATAAAAACAGGGAAAGAAAACAATTGATAAACCTCTCTGCGATCTTTATTTCCTTTGCACTTATTTATACAAGCTGGTAAGAAGGCTGATACATCAAAGGCTATACAAGTAAACATCAAAACGTAATACAGAAGTAACAGAAATGAAAATGCGATAGAGGACGCTCCGGTGTCATTCCCCCGGAGTAGGAAGGACGTCTTCATCATAGAAGGGCGTAAGGTCCACCACATTAAAAGTTGCAGATACTTGATAATCTCCTGGCAAATCAATTTGATATGCATTATCGTTGATCTTCTTTTTAATTCTGAAGGGACCATCCGCTCGAGGTTTCAACTTTCCAAATTCTCCCGGAGGGAATCTCTCCTTGTGTAATCGCATCCATACGAAATCTCCTTCCTTGAACACAACCTTCTTTCGTGTCTTGTTGGCCTTAGTCTGGTACTTAAGGTTCTGCTTGGTGATTGCTTCTTTGACTTGTTTGTGTAGTTTCTGAATTTCTTCCCCTCGTTTGGATCCATCTGACCTAAAAGAGACGGGCGGAGCTATTGGAATTAAATCAATAGGCGTGATGGGATTACAACCGTAAGCAACCTCAAATGGACTACGGCTTGTAGCTTGATTTGGTGAACGATTAAAAGCAAATTCAATTTGCGGTAATATTAGGTCCCATTGACGGATGTTCTTACCAACGAAAAACCTCAACAGATTCCCTAAGCTGCGATTCACAGTTTCGGTTTGTCCGTCGGTCTGCGGGTGGGCGGCTGAGCTGAAGTGCAGTCGTGTTCCGAGCTTACTCCAAAGTGTCTTCCAAAAGTGACTTAAAAATTTTACATCTCGATCAGATGTAAATTGTTCTTGGAATACCATGTAACCGGACTATCTCCCGGAAGTATAGATCGGCAATATGGGTAGCGTCTAATGTTTTTGTGCAGGGAATGAAATGCACCATTTTTTAAAACCGATCGACCACTACCATGATCGAATCTTTGTTTCGCTGTGTTTTCGGTAAACCATGAATGAAATCAATACTGATGTCGAGCCAAGGAGCTTCAGGCACTGGTAAAGGCATATATAAGCCGGCGTTAGTACCTTGTGGTTTTGCAATCCGGCAAACACGGCAACTGCGCAAGTATCGCTCGACATCCCTTTTCATAGTAGGCCAGAAGAAGTTTTCAGCTAGCATGGAGAGCGTTTTGTCTCTGCCAAAATGGCCTGCAAGCCCGCCCGCATGACATTCGGTGATGAGCTCCAATCTGAGGGAATTTTGAGGTATACACAATTGGTTACCACGAAACAGATATCCCTCTTTTATATGAAATAACTGATGAGGTCCCGCATGGCAACATGTCCATATAGCTTGAAAATCTGCATCATCTTTATATAGTTCTTTTAG